AAGAGGGTGTTTGGTTAAGCTTTATAAGCTGGTCAAACTGGCTTATAGGCACCTTTTGGCTTATCTACGCGTTTGGTAAACACTCAAAGTGCTTATAAGCCAAGTGCTTATAAGCTAAAATCAGCCATAAGTCATAAGCCGGTCACCCCCAACTTATGGCTTTTCAACTTATAAGCACTTTTAGTTTGACCAACACTTTTACTAGTTTATCCTTAATAATATTTTCTAATTCACAAAATACTTTTCCCAAAATAAATTTCTTAACTTTCTCTTCATTCCATATTCGTTATTAATTCTTTTCTTTACAAAGAAATTTTTAATTTATAATCTTTTGAAAAAGATTCAAGGGTATTTTAGTCATTTTAACAAAAGAATAGCTTATCAGCATTTTTTAATCAAACACATCAACTGCTTATTATCAGTTTCAGCACTTCTATCCAAACACGTAAATGCTTATTTTAAAAATCAGTTTCAGCATTTAAAAAAACTTTTCAGCACTACAAGCTTATCAGCTATTTACAATCAGCTAATCCAAATGGGCTCTAAATATAAAGTATAAAATTTTTGGATTTTTGGATATCTACAAATCTGAAGTACCAAATCCAATATCCAAAAAATTTAAAAATTAAATTTGAAATCCAATCCATAATTCAAAAATCCAAACCAAAAATTCAAAAAATTTCGGCTTTTGATTTGAATATCGGGTTTGTCCAAACTATGCCTCAGAGGAAGGTCTTTTCGTAATGGATAGCCCTCGAAACCATAATCTGTTGATATACGGCGTAGATCCGGATGATTGATAAGAAACACCAAACATATCCCAAACTTCTCGCTCCCACCGGCCGGCTGATGGAAATAGACTAACTACCGGAGATATTCGTGTTACTTCGTCTGCTCTGGTTTAAACACGAATGCGTGAGTTATACCGAATACTCAGTAAATTATAGATCATGCCTGGGGTGAGCTTGTCTGGCGGGGCAATTTGGAGAGCGTCGAATCAGAAAGCTTGTTTGGATTTTTTGAGGCTTATATAGAGTGCCCTCCACATATAAAACGACCTTTCTTACCCTATAAGGATCCTAAATCTAAAATACTAATCTTCCCTACAGGTGAATTTGTCGGTGTTAACTACTTATAGCAAACATGATTTGAAACCCAAAAAAGAAAAAAGAGGAAATAACTTATCATCATAGTTAAACAACACTATAACATTGATTCTGTCGGTGCGTATAACAATTCTTGAGTAACAATATTATATCTTGTATAAAAAAAAAATTCAATTTCACCTTTCTAAAAATTGAACACAAGAGCTTTAGGTGATTTAGTCCATTCTTAAGTACAGGTGTATCCGTCCTATTCATAATATTACATGAGTATTTCTGATTCAAGAAATCATCACAGCTATTAGCATTGATAGGGAGCCTATGTTTTTTTGACAGCACTTAATTGGAAGGTCAAGGCCCTCTTTTGCCCATCTGTTGCACTTCAAGTGGAGAAAGTATCATGATGTACCATACATTGTTCACAAACTCCCTGGAACAGGACAGAAATTAGTTTAAAATGATAGTGTAATATGTTGTGCCGACTCTTCAAAAATATTACCGCACCCCTGTAGGTCCTCAAAAAATACATTACTTTTGGAGGATCCGACATGCACCCGGCAATATTTTTGCAAAGTCCGAGCAACATAGGTGTAACATGATTTGGTCACTAAAAGGTAGTTACATGTCAGTACCTAGGTTAATCCTGTGAGAAATGAACCTTGAATAACTCAACCCCTAAAATTAACTCATGCAAAGCTGAATGCTCAAGACAGTATGAGAATAGCCTATTTCCTTAAACAATGTGGGACCTTACACTCCCCTACACACTCACGACTGGACAACCGGAGCACGAATAACATAGCACGGGGCCCAACATTGAATAACAAAACAGTAGGGACCGATGGGTCTGGCTGTGATACCATGTGAAAAAATAACCTGTGTAAGTTCATGAACATTAACGAAAGAGACCCTGATTAGTGAACCTGCCAGAAACAAGCAATGTGAATCAAGAAAATAATATTGACAAATATTCCCATCTTTAAATTTTTTATAAATAAACAGATGTGCCCCTAAATTATCAGAAAATGTAAGATTCAATGTTTCTCACATCAGATGTGCATTTCATAAGCAGTGTTACAATTTTAAAAAATGCACTAATGAACAAATTACTATAACAATAAATAGTGTCATTTTAAATATTTATCTTCAAAATTTTCATTTTTCTTATGCATATCTAATAAAAACTTCGACAAAGCGGTGTCGTGACAACGCATGCAAGGTGTAAACGCCCAGGATGTGCCCCTGGGCCTGCAGGGCACTTCATGGTCTTTTGCCTCTTCTAAGTTTGTATATATAGCCTTAAAACTAAAATCCTATTTCATTATAGTTCTGCATTAGGTTAATAACCATGATTATTGCTATTGAAAAAGACTACTAGGGCAGTTCAGTGCACTAAGCTTCCGTCTGGGGAAACGCCGGACCGCAAGGGTCTATTATACACAGTTTTTCCCTGCATTTCTGCAAGAAGTTGTTTCCACGGCTCGAACCCGTGACCTCCTGGTTATATAACAACAACTTTACCAGTTACCGCAAGACTTCCCTTCAACAGAAAAAGTCTACTAATTCCAGAAATTGATATATAATTGCAATGGAAGTGATAAAGAAAAAAAGAATCACATGTTCCAATTTATAAGCATAATATTGTGACACTTCAATTTTGCTCTAGTCTCTTTAACTCTGATTGTAAACTGTAAAGTACATACATATTTTCTCTTCCTCCTACCCACCCTTACTCCCTTTTTGTTCCATTTATTTTGAACATAAAAATGTAGTCGGTCCATACAATTTTGTAGAGTTTGGTGATAAATTGGATAGGCCTAGCAAAAAGATTTGGTTAGCCATTATATTGGATTGAGTTTCCTCATGAGTTATGAATCAGGCGGCTGTTTTTTCTTACCAATTTGATAATATCAAAGTAGTATTTCTAACTTTTCAGAAAACTGTATATATTAATAATATTTGAGGTATAAACAGTGTTGAGAAAGGAGCAGGAGCTAGATAGTTAAGGCTTACACCTAACTTATTAGATATGCAAAGTTTTATTCTCCCAAAAAATGTTACTCCCATCGGTCCACTTTAATTAATTTTTTGATTATTTTCACATATATTAACGAATTCACCTTTTAACATTAATTAACAATAAAATTGACTATATTAATCTTATTTTGTTCATTGAAAATATAAAAAATACTTTTAGGCTCTTTACTCCAAAGGTTAATTCCTTTTTTATATTTGAAAATATCAAATATTGTGGATCACAAGAAAAATACCAAAAAAATCAATTAAATTGGACCGGAGAAAGTACTTTTCTTTTCCAGAGAAAATATTAAGTGAAGTACTAGTACTTGAGAAGGCATTAAATAGCATAACTGCTCATTTATGAAACTTAATAGCATAAAAATGATAAATTGATTTTTCGTATTAGTTAATAGTTTGTATCTCTTTGAAATACAAACTAATATTTCAATATTTTACTTGAAGTTCAAATAATTAAATTCGGTATTTGTAATAGTCATGGCTAAATAATATTTATGAATAGTGTAGTTCAGCATTTGCAAATACTGATATTGTAATTAAACTACAACTCCAATCCTGATCATTTATTAATTTGCATTTATATATTCTTTGTGCGTTTTTACTCATAGTTTGGTATGTAATTAGGGAAATAGTAGCTTAAGAAATTCTTTTTATTTCGTAAGCCTAAATTTAAAATAAATAATAATAATAATAATAATAATAATAATAATAATAATAATAATAATAATAAAAATAGGAAGCCAAAAGATGGATGAAAATTAAAGGCTGGTGATTTTATTTTGACTTCATTTGCCGAACCCATACCATAGGTATTGAATTGAACCGTTAGAATCTCTCTCTCATTATACCCTACCTTTTCAAACACATAGGGTAGCTTGAAATGTTTAGTTCTTTGGGGTTTCTTTTTATTTTATTCTTTTAGTTTTTCGTTTCAAATATTGTGTTACCGAAAATATAATTGTTACTGGCTAAGGCCTAAGAGTATATTTGGTGCGATATAGCAATAATAAAGTGACTTATCTGTTACAATTTTTTTTTAAAAAAACACTTTGTTACACCATTCGCAATAATTGAGTAACTTTTCTGTTATAAAATAAAGAAAAATGACTTTATTACATTATTTTAAATAGTTTAGTAACTATATAAGCAATTAACTCTCTCTACTTTAGAATCGTTGCATAACTAGTACGTGAACCAAACAATCCTATGGGTAGGCATGGGCAGGAAGTAGAGATTATGTATATGTGCTATACAATATGAGTTCAAGAGGCAGATTCAAGATTTAATGTTTATGGGTTCCTGCAACAATCTCGAGTAAATTTTCAATAGTAACTGGGTTTAGATTCAAATATTTATAGATATTTAGTGAATTTTTCGAACAAAAACTACTGGGTTCACGCGAATCCGTAGGCCGCAAGGTGGATCCGCCCCCGGCTACTAGAGTAAAGATGGAGAATAGTCACAAAATTATGCATAATAAATTAGAAACTGGCATAAAGTGAGAAAATTCCTCACCAGTATCCAAATATTTTTCTCTTTTTCCAATTCCATGTCAATAATCTTTCAAATTTCTGGATAGCAATAGCTTTTGGCCACATCATTAATTTTGTTTATAACATAACCAAACAACCTCGGTTCCTTGAGCCGAAGGTCTATCGGAAACAACATCTCTATCTTTGTAAGGTAGGGGTAAGGTCTGCGTACACACTACTCTCCTCAGACCTCACTTGTGAGATTACACTAGGTTGTTTGTTTTTTTGTTTATAACATAACCAAACAGATAGTGAAGTAGGATTCTTCTGTTTCCAGGCTATATATATATACATGAGTTAGAAGAGGCTAAACAGCAAAGAAGTGCCCTGCAGTTATAATTCAACTAAGATGGCTATTTCAAGGCTTGTTTTACTTTCCCAAAAGATAATTAAGCCCTCTTCTCCTACCCCATTTTCACATAGAATTCACAAGCTCTCTCTTATGGATCAAATGGGGACTCGCACCTATATGCCGATTTCTTTCTTCTACCCAAAACAAGACACTGCAATCTCTCTTGAACCGACTAAGGTCTCCCAAATTCTTGAGAAGTCGCTTTCCAAAGTTTTAACCGCATATTATCCATTTGCTGGACGTGTACGCGACAATTCCTTTGTCGAATGTAATGACATGGGAGTCGATCTCTCTCAAGTCCGAATTGATTGTCCAATGTCAAGTATTTTCAATCAACCTCGTACTGATATCGAAAAGTTAATATTTCCTAAAGATCCTTGGAGCACATCTACGGACAGTTTAATCGTAGCTCAACTTAATCATTTTGAATGTGGTGGCATAGTACTAAGTGCATGTATTTCCCACAACGTTGCTGATGGTTACAGTATGACTAATTTCCTAAGGAACTGGGCCCTTGTCGCGCGTGATTCAGAAGCAAAACCATCTCCCCTGTTTAATGGAGCATCAATTTTTCAACCGACCAACTATTCTGCACCACAAGTGGCTGATCCTAGTCGAAAACAAAATGCATCGAAAAGGTACCATTTCTCGGCCTCCAAGTTAAAAGCTCTCAAGGCCAGAAGCCAAATTCCTCCTACAACTGTGGAAGCTGTCACTGCATTCCTATGCAAATGCGCTAATACGCCAACTTTTAAGCCATCGTTATTGATCCAAGCAGTAAATCTACGAGGAACAAGTAATGATGCACTAGTTCCAGCAGGCTTGGTAGGAAATGCAATTCTTCCTTACGTTGTATCAGCAGCAAATGAGGAAGATCTGAATTTGCAAAGACTAATTGGTGAGCTTAGAGAAGGAAAAGAAAAGGTCCATAATATGCTCAAATATATTAAATCAGAAGAGTTACTATGTTCAAGGGTATCTGAACTAGCTACACAGATAAACGAGCAAACCTCGAACAATGATTTTTCTATATATAGGTTTTCTAGTTTAAGGAAATTCCCGTTTGATGACATAAATTTTGGATGGGGAAGGCCAACAAGAGTGGATATTGCTACTTTTCCAGTCAATATGTTTCTCTTTCTGGATAACCAAAATGGGGATGGAGTTGAAGTACTCGTAAACTTGGAAGAAGGAGAGATGTCTGTATTTGAAAGTAATGAAGAGCTTCTTCAGTTTGCTTCTCCAAGCTCAGGACTCTAGACAATTTGAAGCCTTCAGAAAAAAGGGAAGATTTCCTCTTTTTGTTTTTTAAATTCTATATCTTCTTCCGAGTGCTAGGAGACTAGACAAACCTCCGTCTTCATATTAATAACCAAGATATTAATACATTATACACGAAGGAGGTAAACATTTTACCTCCTCAAATACTGTATTAAAATTGACCAATCTTAGTCCTTATGTCATGGAACATCAGTGAGCTATGGCCCCAAAAATAAGAACTTTTTTGTTCAAGTTTTACATTGTGATTTAAATACAAATTAACCTCTTCCTTTTTCTTATGTTGTATAATGTATTTAAATCATAATGTAACATTTCGACAAAGGAGTTCTACTTATTTTAGGATCACAACTCACCAGTGACGTTCCAAGACAAAAGAGACTCAGGTTGTTCAATTTTAATATAGTACTTGAGGGGGTAAAGAGTTTGCCTCCCCCATGTATTCATATTTTGGTTATTAATAAAAAAAAGGCAGCCCGTTGCACTAAGCTTCCGCTATGCGCAAGGGTCTATTGTACGCATCCTTACCCTGCATTTCTGCAAGAGACTGTTTCCACAGCTCAAACCCGTCACCTCCTGATCACATGGCAGCAACTTTACCAGTTACACCAAACTCCCCTTCATTTTGGTTATTAATAAGAACTAAATAATTGAAGCCCTCGAAGAAACTAAATAATTGAAGGGAAAAAAAGAAGAGAGAAGAACTCTTCCCTTTTTTTTTGAAGGCCTCAGAACATCTTGAACTATAACCTTGTTTTACCACATTGAGGAAATGCTCTCCGTGATCATTTAACGAGTAAATGGCGAAAACATCCTTTTGACTATATTCCAAACCTAAACTAAATCCTTATACTACCATACTCAGCCCAAAAAAAATCTCAGAACTATCGCAAAATTAGCAAGTTATATCCTCCCATTAGTATCCGTCAAAGAAACGAACTGCTGCAAAATAAGAACCTTCCCAACTTTTCATATCTAAAGAAAATATAGTCCATTTAGGCAATTTCCCATATTCTAGTTCAATTCTGTTCGTACTTGAACTGATCGTCTCTTCCGGGGACAACAACAACCCACTATAATCCCACTAGTGGGGTTTGGGGAGGGTAGTATGTACGCAGACCTTACCCCTACCCTGGGGTAGAGAAACTATTTCCGATAGACTCTCGGCTCCCTCCCTCCAAGAACTCCCCAACTTGCTCTTGGGGTGACTCGAACTCACAACCTCTTGGTTGGAAGTGGAGAGGGTCTCTTCCAGGGAGGGTTTCGTTTTTTTTTTCCGTATACATTGGTATATCTCTTTAATTCTCTTGAAGTTATGCTTGGGAAATTTTGCTTCTTTAGTGTGATTTTTTCTTGTAGTTAGTTTATTTCTCTTGGTTTAAGTTAGCTTCACTCATCTCATAACTTAATTATAAAGGCATAAGAATCTTTCCAAAAGGTTAATGAAGCAATAGCAAATACTGACAACAACTAGAGAAACAGCAAGAAACAGACCTGGTGACGGCAACGACGAAAGTAGAAGCAGACCAGAGGAAAGCACCACAAGCAATGAAAATATCGAAAAGGTTTTGAAACTGATCTGATAGCTCATCGAACTGTGCACGTATTTGTGTAAAGCTGTTAGAGTAGACACTTACATTTTATTGGTTCTAGTCTATGTTAAGTTTGGTTTAAATCCCAAATTAAATAAGATACCATCTCTAGTCATCACATTTCGGTATCCATTCTCAATGCACCATTTCATACTACATATATTTTTACACTCTCCAAGATCAATTGCAAAAGCTATTATAGATTCACTCCTGTAGTTTTTGTCTTTCTATATATATCACCTCTGTAAAGCTAAGGGGATGGTCATTAGAATCTAATTACGTGCATACTCTTTGCGAGCTTGCATCGTTCATCAATAAGGGACTTGGATTTTACATGGAACTGTACACCAACTTATTTATCTAACGCTAATTTACCCTATCCGGGAAAAAACACTAGCTGATTTCTGCACATCTGCTTATGCCTTGGAGGTCAGAGTCATCCGATACCTGTGCTGGTGGAAGGTAGCAGATACTCGATGAAATAGTCAAGGTGCATACATGCTTGCCCAGTCATAAAGAGGACAATTATTTAAGAAATTTTTCCACTTTTCACTCATTCAGTCATTATCTCAAACACATTGGTTACATAATTTCAACTAATAATTTATCCATATATTGTATACTCCAGATATGGTTTCTTTAACTTATGTTGATCCAATTCAAGTTTGTGTTCTGTTCCCTGATCAAACATGTGTGCTTGATTGTACACAGATAGAGAGGGAGGAAGCATATCGTATTTTGACGATTCGGGATCGTTTAGATGGGTTCTTTGGCGGTTTGGCAGATTAAAATATGATTTACATTTGAAAAATTATTCTTTCTGTCATTTTATTTATGTCTAATCTGGAACATGATAACACATGTGGTTTTGACATGAATTAATATATTATAAGAATATAGGTCATATTTTAAATTCTTAAAAAATGCTTAAAATGGTAATTTTCCAAATTTGATCGCAGTTTTGGAGATTGTGATTTTAACGGTCTCTGATTGATCTGAAATTTGGTAGGTTTATCACAAACAACCCAGTGATCAATACTCACTGCTATGCTGTAAAAAAATGTTAACTTTAGCGTTTTAAGACTGTTTAGATGGGGTTTGAGCATTTATTTTTTGAATTATGGAACTTAATCCTTAAAGAGAATTTCGTGGTTGTGATCAAGTTGTCACGACCCCAATTTCCCTCTGTGTGTTGTCGTGACGACACCTAGTCTCTAAGACTAGGTAAGCCTAACAATTTTGCGGAATAAATGAATATAAAGCTAAAACTCAACCTCAACATCTGAATTTAATAAGAACTGCGATTCACAATAATTACAACTCCCAAAACCCGATAGATATAAGTCACAAGTTCTAAACAGAAAAAGTTAAGTGTCTCTATACATTAGAGTCTAATACAAATAAAGAAAACAACATCATAGAGATAGAGGGGGACTCCGAGGTCTGCGGACGCTGGCAGATGTACCTTTAAATCTCCACATACGGTTTAGCTCACTGGTACTTGTCACACCTCTCTTTTTCCACGCAACCCTATTACGAGGTTGAGTTTGAAGAGTTTTTCCAATTAAAGTGACGTTTTGAAAAGAGATTATTTATTATTTGGAGTCGTTACTTGGAATTGAGTTTTGGTGTTCCAAGTCACCTTTTATTTGAATCCCTTATCAAACGGAAGATTTGACTCCTTATTTATGGTCTACGAAAACAGAAGACTGAGTAAGAAATTCTGTTGACCGATGGTAAGGTGTGAGGCATCCCTAGAGTCCCGTGGTTCTAGCACGGTCGCTTTTATTGACTTATGTCCGGCTTAAATCAATTCTTGGCTATTCTTGTATTTTATTGGTTATGGTTTGTTTATTACCACTTCACTTAATTTATTATATTTTATTAATTGTTTTGACCTAGATGCGGTTTGCACCAAAGGTATTCCTATGAAATCGAATATTAAACCAAGGTATGGAATGTACACATGGTCAAAACATAATTATTTTAAATTTAAAGGTATCTAGACGCAAGAATGCGCACATGATCCTTTTATTATTTAAGCATATCAATCCAAGGTTCTAGTATGAATACATGGGCTAATATTTAAAAAAACATCTAAAGCTTTTCTATCGTATTCAGAATACTTTCCTAAACTAATTTTAGATTATTGTAAAGTCATGAAGTATGGAATCTATTGCGGAGGAAGTGTAAAATTTGACTACCATTAACAAGCTACTAAATATAACACAACATTCGGTCTCAAAAAATAAAATTCGTTCCCACTATAGCTAAAAGAACTAACAGACAATATTAAGGAAACAAACTAATACACTAACCTAACAGTTGCGTCAACCACCTAACTTAACTCAAAAGATTAACATGATCTTATGCGAAATATTTAAGTAGTTAATATCAAATAAAAGCAGGCTTTTAATGTGATTTTCAATAATATTATTATATCCAATAAAATTCACCGCAAAGAATGCCAAAAACTTAAATCCAACAGAATTCTTAGTTCATTAACTTAACAAATTCGGTCTACTCCTACAATTCTTTATAAAAACCTCTATGGTTTCTTTAATAAAAATTAATGCTAATCTCATAAATCTAACTACGACTAACATTACTTAAAAGTAAACACATATAGAGAGGCAAGAAATAAAGCTAACACAGTAAAGGCACTCAAACATTCAACCAAAGGTGATAATACGTTAAAGCTTCAAAATCATCCGAAACATGTATACAAGGCAATGAGAGCAAGGATGAACCTTTAAAAGCTAATAATTCCTTTAAACAATGTCGTAGCTACAAACCGGAATCTCGACTAGAAACCTCATCGGAGATAACTTGAATATTCTTCGTGCCAATTATTTGAAGTGCTTAGACTTGTATATGATCTATTTCTTTTTATAAATATGATGTGCTTTGTGTATTTTTTCTCAGATGTTCCCCTCCAAAATAATGTAAAGAAGAGTGAACCCCCTCCCTCCCCCCATTCGTTTATCAAGTTCTCAATTAAGTAGTGAACATAAACTAGTATCTTGTGAAGCGGGGGACATCGTGTGTATGATCATGGGATTGAGGGGATATGGGAGTTGAGACGTGAGGAGTGGGATGTGAGGAGTTTTGAGAGAGAGGGACGTGAAAGGTAGGGTGAGGGAGTTAGGCTAGAAAATGGGGGTTATGGGATTAGCAAATTAAACATCAGATTTTGATCTCTTTGACGTTAAAGTTCATTTAAATTTATTTTTTTGAAAGATAAATTAAATTATAAAGATAAGAAGATTAACCAATATTTCTTATAAATAGGAAAACTAAATATTTACATGTACTTTAAATGATACTGATGTTTGGCTATAATTCCATATTTTTAGTGCATTACTTACCTTACATTTTGGGGCTTTAATGCTAAATTATACTATATTTGTGCTTAATTGAGTTTATTTTATATGTAGGTACGTTGAAGACGAAATTGGGAGCAAAGTAGAGATTTTATGTGTATTTTATACACTACAAAAATAAAGTTGTGATTGTTTAATTAGTGGATATATTAAGGTTTGACTTTGTGTGGGGAGACAAAAGAGACAACTAAAAAAGAAGACAAAAAGAACAATTGGAAAGGAAAGAAAACAAAAAAAAGTGACTTGAAAGAGTAGGCAAAGAAAAAAAAGAAACAAAATTGTAAATGAAGCAGGCGACGCGAGCCTTATTGCTCGCTACAAAGCGGGCCACTACAAAAACTACCGGCTTTAGCGACGGACGAATTCCGTAGCTAAATAGTATATTTTCGTCGCTAAACATGTTTAACGACGGAATAGCGACGGCTTTGTGTCCGTCGCTAATTTGCTCGTAGCTAACCCTTTACTAACGAAAAAATTGAATCAGTTGGTAAGTTAGCGACGAATTAGCTACGGTTGGTATCTGTTGCTACTCTTAGCGACAACACATATCTGTCGCAATTATCATCAATTTCGTCGCCAAATCGATAAGTCATTTCGTCGTCAGATATAATTGGCGACGAATATTTTCTGTCGCTAATCCGTGGCTAATATTATTGAGACATTTTCCTTTCTTTTGCCGACGAAATTCTTTTGTCGCAAATTTGTCGTATCCTGTTAATCTATATTAGTTATAGCTATGAAGAAAATCCGTCGCAAATTATATTTTTCTTATTTTATTTAATAAAATACATATTGTTCAAGCATATATAAGATACTCTAAATAATAACTGAAATTGATAGAAATTAATATTCTACAAGATCCAAAATAGATACCAAAATGCAAATGTATAATTAAGATTAAAACATTTACAATACTAAAATAAAGTTCGAACAAAAATAGTTAATTACTGAGAGACTAGAGAGTGAAGGTCATCATCAGAAAGCGATGCATGAACCCCGTTAATACCAAAACATCTACAATACCAAAATAAAGTTCAAATAAAAATAGTTAACTACTGAGAGACTAGAGAGTGAAGGTCATCATCAGAAAGCGATGCATGAACCTCGTTAATATTAGTATTAGGAGGAGGAACTGGAGGTGCCATAGCTGATGGGTGATCGGTATGATTATCTTGCACATGTGATGGTGAATCTATCAATCCTCTTACTCGCTCAGCCAACACAGGAAACATGTGATTAGTCAGTACAGGCGCTGCTGATGAAGAAGCATCAGATCCAGAATAGGCACGAAGATTTAGCCCATAGAAATATTTTTCTTGAGATCCAAGACCATATATTCTTCTCTTCTTTTCCCCTCCCGCGGCTTGATAAAATGCTAAAGATTGATCAATATCAGATTGAGTTTGTGTTTGTTGCTGTAATATTTGCTGATATTTTTCCTGTAAATACCATAACAATTAGTGAAATTCATTAATAATGAAGATGAACATTAGGGGAAAAGAAACGATAAAAGCATAAATAAATTAACTGTTAAGTTCTTCATTCAAACAAAAGTTAGCAAAAATCATCTTTATGACTGAAATAGGTGCTAAACAAATAGTTCAAGTGGGACATGAATGTCATATACAAAGTTAGTAAAATTATAGGATTTTGGACTTACATGTACAAGTCGTGATCGCTCACTAACAAAAGATTTTTCATCATGACCATGTGTATGGACGTGCAAGTGTAGCTCACTTGGTGTTGGATCTCGACCCTTTTCAATAGCCTATACAAAAAACAAAGAACTTAATTTCCTTTGATAAGGTGAAACAATTTACTAATGGAGGTACCAAGAAGGTATACAACAGTACAAGTACAAGAAGAATAGCCCCAACAACAGTTTTCAGATAACAATTTTAGAAGTTGAGTTAAAAGATTCTCATTTAAAACTCGAGTGAGGAGTCGGTCAACAAATTTCCTGATAAAAAGAGAACTTATGTGTACAACGACCATTTCTAATTCTACATAGTTGTACAAGACCATGGGTTTTTATTAACTACATGTAACATCATTGGCTTTGGCTATATTCCCAGTAAGCACTTGAAACTGATTTTCCCTTATCCTTTAGAGGATTTAATCCAATTTCTCCAGTAAAATAAAAAGAGAAGAGCAAAGTTTCCCTAATTATTCTCTTTCTATCCCAAGTTTTTGCACATTATTAACTCAAGACGGGCTATGAAAAAGCGGAGCAGAAAAATAAACATAACCAAAGAAAGCACATAAAAAAGAGCTAAAAGGATAATGTCAAAGAACTAAACTACAACCTTTTCCACCCCTATCTACTTTATAACTCAACTCCTCCTTCATTGCAGGATTAATCATCAAAAGGACGAGTTAATGAAAAATCGTGTGACCTCATCGGCCAATTTAAATAATTGCAACAACACCACAGCAGCTTACTAATCTATCTGTTTCAGAAAGGTAATTAAGCCGACATGGTTCGGTTCCATTAACGTCACATCTGATCTCTAAAAGATGATGATAATAGAGGATTAAAGTTAAACAACTTGTCCACAAAAGTCTCATCAATTAAACTTCAAACAAGCCATCATACTTTCACCAACCTGATTACATGCATATAGAAAAACTAAAGATGCTTCCTGTTATTTTCATACATCACAAATATAACAAAGCCAGTCTATCATAGAGCAACAAAACTTAGCAAATATTACTACTTACTAATAGTAAGTTACTGCTCCTCCGTTCCACTCAACCTATTAAGAAGCTGAAATATGTGTACTGAATTCTAGTGGTTACCCCTTGCGAAGAATATACTTACAAGTCTCTTGCGATGTTCCCCAATGGTGATAGAGCCGCCCGTGTGAGTTCCAATGGCGACGACAGTCCCACCGCCACAACGATTTTTTGTATTTATTTCTAATTTTTTGACACACTTAGGATCCTTCCATTGTTCCATCCAATTGTTCCACACATCTTTTGGAACAAAATCTGGTTGAACTATATTCTTATCTTTTTTTATTTTGCATATAAAATCACAGTACCTTCTCGCTGCCTTACTTCCCCATATGCGCTTCACTTCTCTATCAATCAAAGAATCCCAATAGAATGCCTTCTGAAATAATTTTGTAAAGTAGTAACATTAGTATACTATCTATAAAAGTTAATACACTATGTAAAATCAATTTTATGGAATGTCATACCTTGAATTCTCCAAAGTAAAATTCTTTTATCTCTTTTGGGACACCTTTCCAATTGATTCCATTAGGATGAAGTTCACGCTTGAAATTTTCATATATATACTCAGAGCATAATCTACTACAAGTTATAAAGCATCAAATATAGAGGTTATACATCTTCAACTTTTAGCTGGAGTTGAGCAGCCTACTTCTGGGAGTTTGAAACCTACTATTGCTACTGCTGCTGCGTTGAATACAACAGTTGATCGAGTTGCTACTGATGTTGTTGAATCAGTGTTTCAAGGAGATAAGGTTTCTAATGTTATTCCTACAGGAGCTGGGCAAAACACCACTGGTAAGAGGCAGACTAATGTGCCAGAAGCATCAAAGTTGTTGTTGTTTGCTAACTCTTTTTGGTGTTAATCGTGAGGAAACCTAAAAAAATTATAGGCAACCACAATCTCCAGGCCGTAGCAAACAACAATAACTTTCCAAGAACACAGGTGGTCGACTAATTGTTTAATCACCAAATATCACCAAAATTGAAACTCAAATTTTGCTTGAACTAACAACACAAGTAGTCAAATACTTAACACTTAAAAATAACTACTAAGTAACATGTTAACCCACCTGTATGAACCATAATCATATCTAAGAAGGACTTTTGCAAACACTTTAGAGAATATACCATACAAAATCGTTTAGGACAGTTTTTCTCTGTCACACATGCTACTTCATTAAAAACAGAAATTACTATGCATTCTTATCGCTTAATAATGACAACAGAGAGGTCTAGAAAAAGATACAAACACTTGGTCGGTATAATTAAGTAGAAAATTAAAAGGATCTGAAATAAATTAGCTTAAGGGACAAGAATGAATTGGGTGGGTTTCACCAAACTAACAACAACGGGTGAGTGAAGGCTAACTTCGCTCACACAAATCTAAAGACACCTAACTTCGATTTTAATCACCAAATATCACCAAGATTGGTATAAATCAAGAGTTCAACACAAAAGAAACCCCCAAATCAAATTTTAACAACACTAAGTAGTAAAAATATAAGTATTTATGCACAAATAAGACATACCCAGAATATGTCAACTCCTACTTCATATTTGACTTCACATACTACAAAGAAAAAGAGGAAAGAGGTAAAATGCTTGATTTATTTTACATCTACCAAAACCCTAAAACATTTACTATAGAAAATTTGCTAATAAACAGAGAAAGAAGTAGAGACATACCAGTCTTTTAGAAAAGAGATGACTTAGTAGCGCATCTGGGAAGATTAATGGAAGATTAGAGGATAAGAAGAAAAAGAAAAAGAAGAAGGAAAGGGGCTCGTTACTGGAAGGGAGGAAAAAGGCTCGTTACTGTGATGGGGAAGAGGGGGTGGGGATGGGGATGGGGGTCTTATGACAAAGTGAAAATATTGGATGCCTTTTTTTTAATACCTAGCGACAAACAATTCTGTTTCAACAAAGGAAAGATAGTCTCATTAAAGAACCAAGATTAGCGACAAACTCGGTCTGTCGCTAAATACGTCGCTGCAATGTAATAAATTTTGTCACCCAGATTTCCTCACTTATTTTGTTGCTAAATTATGGGCGACAATATTTAGCGCCATTTTTTAGCGACGGATTTTTTGTTTTGTCTTTGTGTTGTCATTTAATTAGATACTAATTCTTCTATTTACTTTTTCTGCTACCAAACTCTATTTTCGTAGTTAATCCGTCGCTGCGACGGAAAAGTATTTGTCGCGTAAATCCATCGCTAAATCAAGTTTTTTTTTTTGTAGTGGGCGAGGCAAGGTATTTTGCTCGCGGCAAAGCTTGCGCCGTGAGGTCTAGCGCGAGAAAGTTGAGGCGTTTCATGCTGCGACGCCCGGGTCGGGTTTTAAAGTTATTTTGTCTCTTTTTTGGTTTTGGACTTGGTTATTTCGTCTAGGTTTTATCCTTACACATATAAATAGTCATTAAACACCATTTTTTAAGGGAGACCGACTTTGGACAGACTTTAGACGAAGGGAGAGTACGGAGCCGCCGTGGAGGCCGGAATTCATTGGATTCTATTTTTCTTCCATCAAACTTAGTAATCTTTACTTTTTCTTGATGATTTGTTGTTTTGCTACCATGTCTATGTGGAGCTAAACTTTATGTTCTAGGGTTGTGGTTGTCATGAATATTGAAATTTATTAATTATATTACTGTTAATTCGAGTTATCATCTTTGGTTGTTTCTCGAATTTTGTGCATAATTGCTTAATTGTTTGGCTAGCAATTGAGTTCTATTTACTATTTATGCTATGCTTGGGAAAGCCGTGCTTAGATTAGAGTAGAATTGGAGAGACCTTGTTTCTGAACCCGTGGCTCGGGGAAAGATTTCTCGGTTTGGATATGAATATACCTAATAGTCTTGCTTAGTTGAATACCGTATTATATTCATTCATGATAGATTCAAGACCATAGGAATATAAGGTTTATATATTATGGATAGACGGATAGTATAGTGGGAACATGCTATTTATATAAACGATCCGGTCAACTAGCAATCATAGATAATTTGGATTAACAGGTGTAATTACGAACTCGATAGGATTGATAAACCGACCACAACCCTGGAATTTATATCTCTCTTCTTTACATGTTTGAATTTCACAATAGTAGTTGTAATAGAAAAGTTAAATTTTTGATCATCTTGGACAGTAAGTTAATTTTAGTTTGCTTAGTTAACGGTTAATCTAAGTCTCTGTGGGTTCGACATCCGACTTTCGAGTCACTTTATTACTTGACGGCCATGTATACTTGCGTGTACTTGGGGAACCAACAAGTTTTTGGCGCTGTTGTCGGGGACTTAGTTATTGATTGGTTATCTAAGTTTAGCTTTTTAGTTGATTTTTTTTTTCAAGTTTTTAATTTTCTTATTTATTTAGTATTTTTTTTCTTATTTTGATATGACGTCTTGGAATAAAAATTGTTTGAATGATGATTATTCTTACTTTGATGATCCTTGTCCATATTGTGGAGCACCCTACTAGTAGAAACATTGTCGTAATGTTCCCACGAGTGGGTTGTGCGCACAATCTCAATCCTATGGGTGAAATATTTATAATATGTGTGGTGGTCAAGGTGGCCATTGGGATGGTTGTCCTAATTCTTTATATCCGTCTTCGAACCCTTATTATGATCTTTCTAATAATATTTGTGAGTTTGATAGGATCGACGATATGGAAGATATTGAATATGATGCTCATATAATGGACATGATGAGGCAAATAATCGACCAAACTCAATTTTTAATGAAGCAAACTCATGGACATCGAAAAGAGATGGAAATTCTCAAGGCATCAATGAAGAGAATGAAGGCCAAAGTAAAAGAATGGGCCGAAACAGCTAATGATCAACAAGTTGCAGACTTAGTTGATAGTGAGAAAGATCCTAAAATTGGAAAAGAGAGTGAGTACCAGCAAGAGAAAAATTTTGAAAAAGAGGAGATTTTTAGTCAAACTTGGCTGGTGGAACAAGCTGAAAGATTAAAAATATATGAGGCTCAACGTGAGAAAATTACAAATGGGATAAAAGACTTAATAGAAGGAAGATCTGAAATGGGACAAGAGATAGAAAAATTTGGCAATGCTATTCACGACTTGGGAGCTCAATTGATTGCAAAGGTTGATGTGTTTAATGCCCAACAAAATAGTTCTGAGTTGTGTGAAGCTGAAAATGAGCTTATACGCCAAATTGAGGAGCTAAAAGTGGAGAGTTAATCATTCGACCATACTTTTACTGATGATGTCCATGTTGAAGGAAGCACACTAGAGTCATGTGAGGAAGTAGATAATGTTATATTTGAAGACTCTAGTGTGTGTACATACGAGGATGTAAATAGTAACACAATTCTAGAGTTGGAATGCATCGGTCCTCATTCCATCTATTTTTTAACATTGTGTTTGGATGATGATATGGTAATTGAGTCATTCGAGCCTTTGGAGGAGCCAAAGATTCTATAGCTTACTTATCAAAAAAATTAATTAAAAGAAACTAAATATTTTTTTTGTAAAATTTTTTTTCTCTTGTAAATAGAAATAAAACTTATACTCAAAGAATGTGAATATTTTTATCATTTTTTAAAATTAATTTCTTTTTCTTTATTCAAATAAGACCTATTAAGAGTAAGATAAAAATTTAAAATATCAAGAATAGACCTAAAAGAAATATTTACACTAAAATAGTATAAATTTCGGGTGTGGTCAAAAATTAGTTGTTCACATTACCTGGTCTGGTAAGCAGGATCCACAAAACGATGTGCAGAAGTGTAGTATGAGTACACCATAACGATACTCAGTAAGTGCCAAGCATAACCTCGGTAGAGTAGTGACGAGGTCATGTCAGGGCCCTAGTGGAATAAAAGGGAAACAAGGCAAAAGATGTAACAATATAATGAAATGACTAAGAATTTAAACAATGAGAAATTACATAAAGGGTAACAACACAGCAAATAAAGGTAAACAACAGGGGCGCTCCCGAGGTACCCCCTCGTAGTCCCAAATGTAAATACACAACAGGGGGGCTCCCGAGGTACCGCCTCGTAGTCCCAAAAGTAAATACATGACAGGGGAGATCCTGAGGTACTGCTTCGTCGTCTCAAGAGTAAATATGCAACAGGGGACCTCCCGAGGTACCGCCTCGTAGTCCCAAAAGTAAATACACAACTCATAACCTATGAAACAACGAATTTACAGCAATGAATCCTACAGTTAAAAACTGAATATAAGATCAAGGAAGCATGTAATTCAACTAAGTATGTTGCACAAGTTGCAAGTAAGAGTTAAGACACGTAGGCATGCGACATTAGGCTAAACATGATGACTACACAAGCTAGAGCAACTTAGTTAAGGAATTAAAAGAAAACTACTCAGCAAGAACCGGATTTTTCAACATTTAACCCGAGTATGCACTCGTCATCTCGCGTACACAGCCTTCACGTATTGCAAATATCATAACAGTACCAAAACCTAAGGGGAGGTTCCCCACACAAGGTTAGACAAGTCACTTATCTCAAACTAAGATCAATTAGTCAATAAGAATGCCTTTTCCTCGACTTTCCGAGTCTGAACGGCCTAAATCTAGCCAAAAGCAATTACGTACTATAAATATAACTATAAGAAACAAATCTAAATAATGAAATTACGACCTTAATAAGGAATTAGAAAATCGCCCCAAAAAGTTGACTCGGGTCCACGTCTCGAAATCAGGTAAAAGTCACAAAATACGAACACCCATTCGATAGCGAGTTCACCCACACCAAAATTACTTAAATCTGATACAAAATTCTCGATCAAAACCTCGAAATTCGGCCTAAGGATTTTTTCACCCTTTTTCACAAATTTCTCAACCCAAATCCTTAATTAAATGAAGAATAAATAATATCTTAGTGGAGATTAATCAAAAATAAGTCAAGAATCCTTACCAAAATGCTTCCTCTAAAAAACCCTCAAAATTTTGCCTCAATCCGAGCTCTATATTTTGACAAGAGTGGGTTTCTCTAGTGGTAAGCACCCTCCACTTCCAACCAAGAGGTTGTGAGTTCGAGTCACCCCAATCGCAAGGTGGGTAGTTCTTGGAGGGAGGGAGCCGAGGGTCTATCGGAAACAACCTCTCTACCTCAGGGTAGGGATAAGGTCTGTGTACACACTACCCTCCCCAGACCCCACTAATGAAATTATATTGGGTTGTTGTTGTTGTTGTTTGTTGTTGTAATCCGAGCTCTATATCTCAATATATGAAGAAAATGGCAAACCCTTGATTTAAAACCATTTTGCCCAGCACTTCTACTTTTGCAGTCCAAAATCCGCTTTTGCGGTGAAATCTCCGCATCTACGAAACTCACTTAATCTCCCAGATATTGCACATGCGCACATCCATTTGCATCTGCGGATGCGCTTCTGCGCTCACTCGTTCGCTTATGCGGAAACCTTGGCCACCTCAGTTCCCTCACTCTCCGCTTCTGCGATCATCCTTCCGCAAATGAGGCTCCGCTTCTACGGCCTTCACGTCGCATCTGTGAGCACTGACCACCCCCTTTAGTTCCACTTCTGTGCTTGGACTCATGCTTTTGCGGGCCCGCACTTGCGGTCAAACTTGTGCAGGTGCGGTTGCACCGGAACTGGTGCACTTCAGCCATTCTTTAAGCTTCAACTTGATTCGTTAACCATCCGAAACCACCCCGAGGCCCCCGGGACCTCAACCAAACCTTCCAACAAGTCCTAAAACACAATACGAACTTAGTCGAGCTTTCAAATCATATCAAATAAAGCTAAAATCACAAATCGCACCCCAATTCAAGCTTAATGAACTTCAGAACTCCTAACTTCTACATCCGACTCCAAAACCTATCAAATCAAGTCCGATTGGCCTCAATTTTGTACACAAGTCATAATTGACATTACAGACCTACTCCAACTTCCGGAATCGGAATCCGACCCCAATATCAAAAAGTCCACACCCGGTCAAACTTCCTAAAAATCATCCAATTTTCCAACTTTCGCCACACTGAAATGACCTACGGACCTCCAAATGAACATCTGGACACGCTCCTAAGACCAAAATCACCCTACAGATCTATTGGAACCGTCGAAACTCTATTCCAGAGTCGTCTTCACACAATTCAAACTACAGTCAATTTCTAGAACTTAAACTCCTAATTTAGGGACTATGGGTCCCATTCCACTCCGAAACTCTCCCGAATCTGACACCAAGCACCCCGACAAGTTACGTAGCCACAAAATTATATAGAGGGAGCAATAATTAGGGGTTCGAGGCTAATACTCTCAAAATGACCGGCCGGATTGTTACATCCTCCCCCTTTTAAAACAAATATTCATCCTCGAATGGGTATAGAGACGAACCTGAAGTGGTGAAAAGATGAGGATAACGGCTGCGCATATCATGCTCGGTCTCCCAAGTTGCCTCCTTAACCGGATGACCCCTTCACTGCACCTTCACTGACGCGATGTTCTTTGACCTCAACGTTTGGACCTGCCTGTCCAAAATGGCCACAGGCTCCTCAACATAAAATAGATCCCTGTCTAACTAGATTGAGCTGAAGTCTAACACATGAGACGGATCATCATGATACTTCTGAGGCATGGAAACATGGAATACTGCATGAACTGTAGAGAGACTAGGTGGTAGTGCAAGTCTGTAAGCCGCCTCTCCAACCCTCTCAAGAATCTCAAAAGGCTCGATATACATAGGGCTCAACTTGCCCTTTCTCCCGAACCTCATAACACCCTTCATGGGCGAAACTAGGAGCAAGGACCCGCTCCCTAACCATGAATACAACGTCGTGGACCTTTCGATCTGCATAACTCTTCTTCCTAGACTGGGCTGTACGAAGTCAGTCCTGAATCAATTTAACCTTTTCCAAAGCATCCTGAACCAAGTCTGTACCCAATAGCCTAGCCTCACCCGGCTCAAACCAACCCACTGGAGACCAACACCGTCTACCATACAAAGCCTCATACGGCGCCATCTGAATGCTTGACTAATAACTGTTATTGTAGGCAAACTCTGCAAGTGGCAAAAACTGATGCACCCCTAAAATCCATCATACACGCACGAAGCATAACCTCTAATATCTGAATAGTGCGCTCGAACTGTCCGTCGTCTGAGGGTGAAATGCTGTACTCAACTCTACTTGAGTACCCAAATCATGTTGTATGACTCTCCAGAACCGAAATATAAATTGCGTACCCTAGTCAGAGATGATAGATACCGGTACGCCATGAAGCCTGACAATCTCACGAATGTAAACCTGAGCAACTTGCTCCGAAGAGTAAGTAGTAACCACATGAATAAAATAAGTTGACTTGGTCAATCTATTAACAATCACCCAAACTGCATCGAACTTTCTCTAAGTCCGTGGGAGTCCAACAGCGAAATTCATAGTGATCTGCTCCCATTTCCACTCCGGAATCTCAAGTTTCTGAAGCAATCCACCTGGCCACTGATGCTCATACTTCACCTGCTGACAATTTAGGCACCGAGCTACATATTCCACTATGTCCTTCTTCATTCTCCTCCACCAATAATGCTGCCTCAAGTCCTGATACATTTTTGCAGTACTTGGATGAATGGAGTACCGCGAACTGTGAGCCTCCTGGAGAATCAACTCATGCAAACCATCTATATTAGGCACACATAGCATGCTCTGCATCCGCAATACACCGTCATCTCCAATAGTGACTTCCTTGGCATCATCGTGTTGAACCATGTCCTTAAGGACAAGCTGATGGGGGTCATCATATTGACGCTCTATGATACGATCATAAAGAGAAGACTGAGAAACTAGACAAGACAAAACCCTGCTCGGCTCGTAAATATCCAATCTGACAAACTGGTTGGCCAAGGCCTGAACATCCAAGGCTAAAGGCCTCTCTGCTACTGGTAGATATGCCAAACTACCCAAACTCTCCGCCTTGCGACTCAAGGCATCGGCCACCACATTGGCCTTCCAAGGATGATAGGGACTGGTGATGTCATAATCCTTAAGCAACTCCAACCACCTCCATTGCCGCAAGTTAAGATCTTTATGTTTAAACAGATGTTGTAGACTCCAGTGATCGGTGTAGACCTCATAAGGGACACCATACAAGTAGTGCCGCCAGATCTTCAAGGCATGAACAATAACTGCTAACTCGAGGTCGTGGACAGGATAGTTCATCTCATGCACCTTCAATTGTCTAGATGCATAGGCAATCACCCTACCATCCTGTATCAACACCGCGCCGAGACCAATACACGACGCATCACAATACACCATATAGGACTCCGAACCAATAGGCAACATTAACACTGCGCTTTAGTCAAAACAGTCTTGAGCTTTTGAAAGCTCTCCTCACACTCCTCGGTCCACCTGAACAGATCACCCTTCTGGGTCAATCTAGTCATGGGTGAAGCAATAGACGAGAAACCCTCTACAAATTAACAGTAATACCCCACCAAGACAAGAAAACTCCGGATCTCCGTAGCTGAGGATGGTTTGGGGAAACTCTGCACTGCTTCAATCTTTTTCGGATCTACCTTGATCCCCTCACTCGATACTATATGACCCAAAAATTCCACTAACTCTAGCCAGAATTCACACTTCAAAATTTTTGCATACAACTTCTTTTCTCTCAAGGTCTGAAGCATAGTCCTCAGGTGCTGCTCATGATCTTCCTGACTCCGGGAGTATACCAGAATGTCATCAATAAACATAATGATGAAAGCGTCAAGATAGGACTGAAATACATTGTTCATCAAGTGCATGAAAGCTGCGGGGGCGTTGGTCAGCCCAAAAGACATCACAAGGAACTCGTAATGACCATACCGAGTCCTGAAAGTAGTCTTCAGGATATCTGGCTCCCGAATCTTCAACTGATGATAGCCTGAATGCAAGTCGATCTTAGAGAACACTCTGGCACCCTGAAGCTGATCAAATATGTCATCAATACGTGTTAATGGGTACCTGTTCTTCACTGTAACCTTATTTAACTGGCGATAATCAATACACATTCGCATAGAACCATCCTTCTTCTTTATAAACAAGATAGGAGCACCCCAAGACGACACACTAAGCTTAATAAAACCCTTATCGAGTAACTCTTGCAACTGTTCCTTTAATTCTTTCAACTCTGCTGGGGCCATACGATAAGGTGGAATAGAAATGGACTGAGTGCTCACTAACAAATCAATGCCAAAATCAATATCCCTGTCGGGCAGCATGTTTGGAAGATTCGTCGGGAATACATTTGAATAGTCCCTCACTACCGGAACTGACTCGGCGGTAGGAGTATCAACACTAACATCCCTCACATATGCCAGAAACGAATCACACCCCCTTCTCAACCATTCGTTGAGCCTTAATAAATGAGACAACCCTGGTAGGAACATAATCTAAGGTACCTCTCCACTCTAGCTGCAGTAGACCTGGCATAGCGAACGTCACCGTCTTGGTGTGACAATCAAGGGTAGTATGCTAGCGCGATAACCAGTCCATGCCCAAAATAACATCGAAATGAGCAATAATAAATCAGCTCTGGTCTCAAAACCACTAAGAACAATCAAACACGACCGATACACACAGTCAACAATAATAGAATCACTCACGGGTGTAGACACATAGACAGGAGAACACAAACAATCATGGGATACACCCAAATACAGAGCAAATAACATGACACATATAAATAAGTGGAGCCTGGATCAAATAAGACTGATGCATCTCTATGACAGATCGGAACAATACTTGTGATGACAGAATCAGATGCAACTGCCTTTGTCCTAGAAAGAAGGGCATAATATCTAGCTTGGCCTCCCCCTCTAGGGCGACCTCTAATAGTCCGAACTCCACCTCGAGCTGGTTGTGAAGGTGGGGTAGTAGCTGGTGGTGTAACCATAGCCTGAGGACCCGGTGTAGAACACGGTACCTGAGTGGTCTTTATAGGTGCACCCCTTCTGAGTCTGGGGCAATCCCTCACCACATGATGAGTGTCGCCACACTCAAAACAAGCTCTCGGAGGATGTGGCTGTTGTGACTGGCTCGGGCCTAATCGGCCGGACTGACCACTGAAAGCACCCCATGCAAGAGGTGCACTATACAATGGAGGTGCATAATAAGGAGCCTGGGGCGTAAGAGTGGCCAGAGCACCACTGGTGGCTGGAAGTGCTGAATGAACAGGGAGACCCAAATAGCCCCTACCCTGACAAGCTGCAGCTGAGGCACGTGTACCACTATATGTGCCAGACTCTCGAGACCTCTTGGCCTCTCTCTCATCTCTCTCCCGAGTCAACATACCCTCCAATCTCCTGGTGATCCCCACCACCCGCTGGTATGCGATGTCCATGTCTAACTCTAGGGCCATGCTAAACCTGATACTGGGGTTGAGCCCCTCAATAAATCTATGAACCCGCTCCCGAATAATAGTAACCAAGGCTGGTGCATGCCTGGAAAAATCACTGAACCGGACTGCATACTCTGACACGGTAATATAACCCTGGCGCAACTGCTCAAACTCTACGCGCCACGCATCTCTGAGACTCTGGGGGACATACTCCCTCAAGAACATATTTGAGAACTAAGTCCAAGTGAGTAAAGCTACCTCGGCTGGACTACCCAACTCATATGCTCGCCACTACTGATAGGCCACTCCTCTAAGCGTGAACGTAGTGAAAGAAACCTCACTAGCCTCCGCAACACCCATCGTATGGAGGATACGGTGGAACTCCTCAAGAAAACCCTGGGCAGCCTCTAAAGCCAAGCCATTGAAAGTAGGAGGGTGGTACTTCTTGTACCTTTCGAGCCTGAGCTACTGCCCCTCAGAAATTGCTGCCCTAACCTCAGGCTGAATTGGGGCTACCAGTTGCATAGGTATGACCTCTAGAACCTAGTCAACCTAGACCCGTTGCTCTGGGGTACGGGTGGCAGGAGTCTATGCTCCTTCTCCGGCCTGAGATATGGCAGGAACAAGTGGTATCAACCCTGCCTGAGCCAACGTGCTGAACATGCTCAAAAACTGGGCGAGAGTCTCCTAGAGGGCTGGTGCAGTAGCATGCATCTCAGGTGCCTGCCTTCCAACTGGAGCTACTGGTGGCTCCTCTGTAGCATCTCATACGGGTGTTCTGGCTGTACCACATGGACGTCCTCGGCCTCTACCCCAGCCCCGACCTCTCGCGACTCTAGTAGGAGGCGCGGGTGTCTGGTCATCTGATCCATCTAGACGTGTCCTTACCATCTGTGAAAGAATAGAAAGACAGAATTTTAGAATCTAAAGTTAAAATCTCGCACAATAAGGAATCAAAGAAGTGAAGCTTTTCCTAACAGTTCCATAGCCCCTCGAAGATAAGTATAGACGTCTCCGTACTGATCCGCGAGGCTCTACTAAATTTTCTTGTGACCCATAACACCTATGAACCTAGTGCTCTGATACCAACTTGTCACGACCCCAATTTCCCTCCATGGGATGTTGTGACGACACCTAGTATTGGTCTCTAAGACTAGGTAAGCCTAACAATTTTGCGAAATAAATGAATATAAAGCTAAAACTCAACCTCAACATCTGAATATAATAAGAACTGCGATTCAAAATAAATATAACTCCCAAAACCCGGTTGAAATAAGTCACAAGCTCTAAAGAGAAAATGTTAAGTGTCTCTATACATCAGATTCTAATACAAATTAAGAAAATAACATCATAGAGATAGAGAGGGACTCCGAGGTCTGCGGATGCTGGTAGATGTATCTTGAGGTCTCCACGTACGGTTTAGCTCACTAGTACCTAGTCTCGTAAGCAGTACCTAGATCTGCACAAAACGATGTGCAGAAATGTAGTATGAGTACACCACAGTGGTACCTAGTAAGTGCTAAGCCTAACCTCGGTAAAGTAGTCACGAGGCCAGGTCAGGGCCCTACTGGAATAAAAGGGAAATAAGGCAGAAGATATAACAATATAATGAAATGACTGAGAATTTAATCAATGAGAAATTAAAAAAAAGGGTAACAATACATCAAATAAAGGTAAACAATAGGGGTGCCCCCGAGGTACTGCCTCGCAGTCCCAAATGTAAATACACAACAGGGGGAGCTCCTGATGTACCGCCTCGTAGTCCCAAAAGTAAATACACGACAGGGGAGCTCCCGAGGTAATGCCTTGTAGTTTCAAAAGTAAATACGCAACAGGGGCGCTCTCGAGGTACCGCCTCGTAGTCCCAAAAGTAAATACACAACTTATAACCTATGTAACAACGAATTTACAGCAAGGAATCCTACAGTTAAAAACTGAATACAAGATCAAGGAAGTAGGTAATTCAACTAAGCATGTTGCATAAGTTGCAAGTAAGAGTTAAGACATGTATGCATGCGACATTAGGCTAAACATGATGACTACACAGGCTAGAGCAAATTAGTTAAGGAATTAAAAGAAAACTACTCAGCAAGAACCAGATTTTTCAACATTTAACCCGAGTACACACTCGTCACCTCACGTACACGGCCTTCACGTATAGCAAATATCATAACAATACCAAAACCAAAGGGGAGGTTCCCCCACACAAGGTTAGACAAGTCACTTACCTCAAACCAAGCTCAATCAGTCAATAAGAATGCCTTTCCCTCGACTTTCCGACTCCGAACGACCCAAATCTAGCCAAAATCAATCACATACTATAAAAGGAAAAGGTCCGAATTTACCCCTATACTATGGTATATAGTTTAAATTTGTCCCCCGTTATACTTTTCGTCCAAATCCACCCCTACCGTTAACAAAGTTTATAAAATTGCCCCGAGCCCTAACAGATCTCCACTGTGACAACCAACCCCTCTATTAATTTGTCCACATCAGCAGCCAAGTCAGCACCTAAATATAATTCTCACTAGGTTTTATTAACCAAAATAATTTAGATGAGGAGAGAGAAGGATGCCTTCCTTGGTTGGAAAATTGAGGTTGCAGCAGCTACCTTTTTGAATGAAATCAATCTCTTCAGTTGCCTTTTATATTCATTTACAACATTTGATCCGCTGTCAACCACCGCCTTCTCAGCTGACTGCCCATCCACCCCCTATACTACCCCTAGTCCCACCCCACCATCATCTCCTTTGATGTTTTTCAAAAGGTTCAAAATTTCCGACAAGCCGACGAGGATAAACTCGTCGTTTACTCATAGCCGGAGAAGCAACAAGTAAGGATATGTCTCTTTCTCTAAGTTTCAAATCATCCCATAAGATGATTAGATCCATCCCCATCTATCTCTCACTCCTATTGTATTTGCGACCTATCGGAAAATACCCCCACCACTTGAAACCAAATCTGTCCGAACATCGTCGAAAGCCACCAAAACATTCTTTGACCATGATTTACCTTTCTTGCCTGTTCAAATCCATATTCTAGCATATTTTCGAAGTCAATTTTTTTATGTGAGAGTTGATCATAAACCCTAGTTCAGTTGCAACAGTGATATCATTGAAGTTAACGAAAACTACTTGAAATTGGAAAAGAAATTGCAATAGATTCTTCTCCGTTGCTGATGATAGTAAATGTTGATGATGGTAAATCGATATCTTCGAATGGCAATGGTGCTCGGTAAATCTCCATTTACTTTAGTAAGAATGGTAAAAATGTATTAATACATCAAAAATAGAAGAATAAATTGTTAAGAGTTTTGATTAAAAATGGTGGCATGACGAATCTAGTTTCCGGCGTCAGCAACTGCTAAAGGAGGGATGCAGAGTGGGTTATAAAACAAAACTAGGTTAAATGTGGAAGAATTGCTTTTTTAATTTTCTAATTTAGTAAAGGCCATAAACAAGATATTAGGTGCTGACTTGGCTGCTGATGTGGACAAATTAATATAGGGGTTGGCTGCCACAGTGGAGATCTGTTAGGGCTCGAGGCGATTTTATAAACTTTGTTAACGGTAGGGGTGGATTTGGACGAAAAGTATAACGGAAAACAAATGTGAACTATATACCATAGTATAGGGGCAAATTTGGATCTTTTCCCTACTATAAATATAACTATAAGAAACAAATCTAAATAATGAAATTACGACATTTATAAAGAATTAGAAAATATCCCCAAAAAGTCGACCCGGGACCACGTCTCGAAATCGGATAAAAGTCACAAAATACGAATACCCATTCGATAGCGATTTCACCCATACCAAAAGTATTCAAATCCGATACAAAATTCTCGATCAAAACCTCGAAATTCGGCCTAAGGATTTTCCACCTTTTTCACAAATTTCTCAACCCAAATCCTTAATTAAATGAAGAATAAATGATATCTATTGGAGATTAATCAAAAACAAGTCAAGAATCCTTACCCAAATGCTTCCTCTGAAAAACTCTCGAAATTTTGCTTCAATCCGAGATCTATATCTCAAATTATAAAGAAAATAGCAAACCCTCGATTTTAAACCATTTTGCCCAGCACTTTTGCTTTTGTGGTCCAAAATCCGATTCTGCGGTACCACTTTTGCCATGAAATCTCCGCATCCGTTGAGCTCACTTAAACTCCCAGATATCGCACATGCGCATATCCATCTGCATCACTCGTCCGCTTCTGCGGAAACCTTGGCCACCTTAGTTCCCTCACTCTCCGCTTCTGCGGCCTTCCCATCACATCTGCGACCACTGACCACCCTCTTCAGTTTCACTTCTGCTCTTGGCCTCACACTTCTGTGGGCCCGCACCTGCGGTCAAACTTGCGCAGGTGCGGTTGCACCAGAACTGGTGCACTTCAGCCATTCTTTAAGCTTCAACTTGATCCGTTAACCATCCGAAACCACCCCGAGGCCCACGGGACCTCAACCAAACCTACAAACAAGTCCTAAAACACAATACGAACTTAGTCGAGCCTTCAAATCACATCAAACAATGCTAAAATCATGAATCGTACCCCAATTCAAGCTTAATCAACTTTAGAACTCCTAACTTCTACATCCTACGCCGAAACCTATCAAATCAAGTCCGATTGACCTCAATTTTTGGACACAAGTCATAATTGATATTACGGACCTACTCCAACTTCCATAATCAGAATTTGACCCCGATATCAAAAAGTCCATCCCCGATCAAACTTCCCAAAAATCATCCAATTTTCCAACTTTCACCAATTGACACCGAAATGACCTACGGACCTCCAAATGAACATCCGGATACGTTACTAAGACAAAAATAAACCTACGGATCTATTGGAACTATTGCAACTCCATTCCGTAGTCGTCTTCATACAATTCAAACTACGATTAATTCCTAGAACTTAAACTCCCAATTTAAGGACTATGGGTCCCATTCCACTCTGAAACTCTCCCGAATCTGATACCAAGTACCCCGACAAGTTACGTAACC